GACAGCACCCCAAGAGACACTCAACTGAGCCCCAGGCAGCATTCAGATGAGACGGCACCCCAAGAGTTAACTGAGCCCCGGCTGGGCCCTCAGATGGGACGGCACCCCGACACTTCACTGAGCCCCTTGAAGCCGAGGGCTGGCTAAGCCGGGCCCGAATTCCTCATCCAAAAACCAGCGAAAAACGTCTATCCGGAAAAGCCCTTCGGTGGGCCGACGTGTGACGAAACAGGAAGGCAGGAGCTGCGTCCGGCTCCGGCTTACAGGAGTCGATTCCGTTCTCCCGGGGGCGTGTGAACACGGGTACTGCCCTACCTCCTCACGGGTCAGAAATCTGAAACGTCTCCCCTCCCCTGGATGTCAAGACCCAGACCAGGGGTGCTGGGTCCCCACGGCCCCAGAGGGAGGCCTGGCCCGGGCAGTGTCCGGTGACCACGTCCCCCTGCGGGCCTCGGTAGACATCAGCGCGCCGCACGTGCGCAGCAGGCTCGTCCTCAAAGCTGCCAGGGACCCTCTCTTCGCTCTTGGCACCCCCAAACGGGTCAGCGGTACCTACGGACACTGTGCGCCCCAAACCCGTGTGCAAACATCGCAGCAGCTGCTCGCGAAAGCCCAGCAGGGCAGAACCCACGCGATGAGCCTGGGGGCGGGGGGTCCCCGGGGCTGCCCAGGTGGACACGGCTCCCTCTGGGGCGCACGGCCGGAGTCGCGTACACCCCAGCGAGGCTGGGCGTCTCCCGCCGGTGGTGGTGTGCCGGAGCCAGCAGGCCTCCAGAAGTTTTCTCGGAAACGTTCGGACGTCCTTGAAGCTCAGACCTGACGACTGCTGCAGACGGGTGGGGGAGCCGAAACGGCAGAGTTACTTTGTGGGTGCAGATCAACACCTCCGCCGCCCTGCGCCACTTGCACAAGAGCTACAAGCTTCCAGCCAGAAAGGAAAACCTCGCTAGGCATTTTGAACACATCGGGGAACGCATCGGCGACCCGGGGCGTGGAGAGCCGAGGAGCAGCCGAGAGGCAGAGAAGGTGCAAGAAAAGTAGCTCCGCCAGCGTCCACACCACCGCGTCCGGGTGTCGGCGGGTGCAGGGGCCCCTCAGCATTCGATTCCAGTCCCGCCGGCGGCGGGCAGCAGGGCTCTCCCCGGCCGGGACGCCCGCAAACCGAAAGGCACCTAGAACGAAGGCGTCGCAGCAGAACCCGAAGGAGACACCCCCCCACACACCTCAGCTTCCTGGGCGTGTCTACGCCCGCCGCCCGCTGCGCCTAGGCCCTGAGCCCTCGTGCGGAGGAGAGAGAAGCAGCTCCCCGGGGACCCTCCGGCTAGTCGGCTCACCGGAGCCCTGCGCGCCCGCCTCCCCGCCGTTAGCCTGCCCCCGTCCTCCGGTTCCGAGCCGGAAGACAGATAAATGACAGCGGGGGAGGGGGGGCCCGGTCTGGCCACCGCAGGCTCAGCAGACGCCAGCGCCGGTCAACGTCCGCCGCACGTCCACTCACTCGCGGCGAGAGACGCCCGAGCCCGGC